TTTATCATCAAATTTGATCGATTTTTGCGTAGCAGTATTGTTTACCGACATTTCCATAAGATCAATCTTCACTGTTCATACCGTCTGATAAATCGAGCGTTTCGTCGTAAACACTCCATGCCACCTGCTCGTATGTTATTCGTCTGTAATATTTAAGCGCAATCATCGTCATCCGAATCGATTGAATTTCAGTGCGAGAATGGCGGCTGGTGATGACGGTATTCCAACCTTCAAGTTAGTTCTTGTCGGTGATGGAGGTACCGGTAAAACTACTTTCGTGAAGAGACACTTAACCGGTGAATTCGAAAAGAAATACGTTGGTATGTTTATCGTAAATTGTGTTGTTATTGATTCGTATCTTTGACGTATTTGGATTATTGGTGTATTTGGAAGTCAGTGAGATGTGAAATGAATTTTCAGCAACATTGGGCGTAGAAGTGCACCCGTTGATTTTCCACACAAACCGAGGGCAGATTCGATTCAACGTATGGGATACAGCGGGACAGGAGAAGTTTGGTGGATTGCGTGATGGCTACTACATCCAAGGTATGCCTGCTTGTTTTTTTTAACGATATTGTTGCATTTTAAAATGTAGCATAGCGCATGTNACACATTGATTTGCACACCACAGTTTTTTTTCCTTCCACTTTCAAGAACGTATTAAAGTTATGTTCATCTAAGGAGGAAACTTTTCTCTTCAGGGCAGTGTGCTGTAATAATGTTTGATGTGACGGCAAGAGTGACGTATAAAAATGTACCAAATTGGCATAGAGATTTGGTGCGTGTTTGCGAAAATATCCCGATTGTTTTATGTGGTAATAAAGTTGATGTGAAAGATCGAAAGGTGAAAGCAAAGACGATCACTTTCCATCGAAAGAAGAATCTGCAGGTATTACTTTCTGGATTCTTTGTTTATTCCACTCACATTCCGTTGTGTGGTAATGAACAGGATTGATCTGTTTTCAGTATTACGACATCTCGGCTAAAAGTAATTATAACTTCGAAAAGCCGTTCTTATGGTTAGCTCGTAAACTATTGGGTGATCCGAATCTGGAGTTCGTCGCAATGCCTGCATTGGCACCACCCGAGGTGCAGATGGACCCAACGATGGTGGCACAGTACGAACAGGAGATCGCTGCCGCTGCAACTGCCGAATTGCCGGAGGATGATGATGATCTTTGAGCGATATGATATGATATTTTAGTTATGATGATAAGGGTCGATGAGCGAGGCAACACAACTTTTTATCGTTATGAGTTTATTCGGTGACTAGAATATTGAGCAAGTGAATGAGAGCATTCAGGAAAGAGGAAGGATTTTTTTGTGGTGAAGTAATGACAAAAAGTGTTGCCGTAAAGTTTGTCAGAGTTGTGTCCATCTGAATATCCTCAGTTATCGACTTTGAGTTAATTCTTATTTTGTTATTTTTCGATCATCATTCACAGTTGTATGTGCGTTGTATGTGTTTGTGTGTATCGCAATTATGATCGTTATTGTTTATTGGAATTTTTATCTGACTTACGTGACTCCAACATCCATCCCATCGATCAGCAGTCATCCGGATTCTACAGATGATCATCAGCTGTTGTTTTTAATTACCGATCACAATCTCCCTATCTATCCCTATGCAAATGAACATGTCGTCAACAAAGTGTAATCGTTGTTTCGTTGAGCATCGCAAAATTAGATTATCAGTTGCTTAACTGTAAAGTATTTGGCTTATTCGCAATACTTTTTTTTCACGTATTTGATTGGCACCGTTCATTGATAAGCAAAAAATTGCATTCGCTACGTCGTTCATTATGCTGTTCATTTGAGCGTTATTTTATTCATTATTATTATTATTATGACTATTTTCATCACTCTGTTCCAAATAAACTGTTATCGACGATAACGTCCAAACGCTTCTGATGTACAACACAGCAACGGTAATGGTGATGGTTCGTTTTATTGACTGTTTTGATCAGACATTAAATTCATCACTTGTCGTCTACCTCTTTGCATACAGATGCAGTGCAAAACACTGTTTAGTTATTAAAATCAACTACATTTTACATGTAAGCAGGAAACATATGAAGAACCCGTCATCGTACGAATGACTGCTTAGACTGCCTTAGAAACATCGAATCGTGCGACTGATCACTCGCTCAGATTGCTATCTGCCGTTCACAATAAAAACAGAAACACGTGAGCACGAGAGTTAGTTGAGAAGGGGAAGAAATATTCAACTAAACGAAAAAGTTTTGATGTAAAATTTTACAATACATTGCTAACGATTAGGTAGGTGAAGACAGATACATTATTGATGAGGTATTCCATAAGCAAATATGCATCTGATTCATGCTAAGTTAACAGCATATAACAACGGTCGTTGTTTTGAACAGTTCAATTTTATTATTACGGCATTATTCCCATTGTTTTCATAGCAATTTTCACCAATTTTATTCACTGTATTACCTACGAAGTTGTCCATCTAAATTTTATTCATTTTGAATACATTTCCTCTCTAGCAAGTTGTCAATTGAAAGTTTAAACTGTATCGAGAAACAATGTGAAGTAAGTCATTCCCTAAATACAATGATAATTTGAC